CTCTTGTTACCCAGGCTGGAGTGCAATGGCGCGATCTCGGCTCACCGCAACCTCCGCCTCCTGGGTTCAAGCAATTCTCCTGCCTCAGCCTCCTGTGTAGCTGGGACTACAGGCACGCGCCACCATGCCCAGCTAATGTTTTGTAGTTTTAGTAGAGGCGGGGTTTCACCATGTTGACCAGGATGGTCTCGATCTCTTGACCTCGTGATCCACCCGCCTCAGCCTCCCAAAGTGCTGGGATTACAGGCTTCACCCACCGCGCCCGGCGTGTGCTGGTGTCTTAACAAGAAACTCTGATTACCCAAATTGAAAATTATGATTCCAATGAATAAGCTATAAAAAATAATGTAAATAGAGTTTGGTCTTTACAAACTGATTCAAATAAGCAAGTAATTCAATTAACCAGTTCTTCTATAAAATGGAACCAATCAACCATTAAAAGGCATCAAAAATTCACAATCATACTGAGAGAGAAAAACAGTAAGTTCTGACTTTATGACCCTTTACCACTGCTGAATCTATTCACACAGGAAGATTTAAGTACAGATGTGTATGAACTCAATTGCACAGAAAATCAGAATAATTATTTTTGCATTACTCACCTTTCTAAAATGTGGTTATTCTCAGCAAGTTCTTTAACCACTCCTTCCATCTCTTCCTTTAGTTTCTTCATACTATATAAAATAAACAAGCACCTTTGCTTAAAAAAGTATGCAAATGTTTTAGAATGATGTTTATGTTTCAGTTTTCTAAATTTAGCTAGTCAACAACTAACCTTATTAAAACACTGTATTACAACAAACATCAAACATTTCAAAATGTAAGAGCAAGAGCACAAACTGCAATAAAAGCAAACACTACAGTTACCAAATGATGAGTTTCTTACCCAAGAGTCATTTCTACTAATGTGTTAGAACTTGGATAAATTGGGGTCATGGCATGTTTGATTCCACTGGAAGCTGCAAACATTTTCTGAGGCAAAGTTTCTTGTAACTAAAACATCAAAAAAAGAAAAAAAAAAACACATTAATCACAGAACAAAAGTACTTACTACAGATCTGATATCAAGTGTTGGAGCTTTTAATAAGTCCTTTATAAAAATTTTAAATTTTGATTTCAAAACTATCAATGATACAATACTTAACACCCTTGTAAGAAACTTTTCTTACAGATGATAAAAGGATGGTTTATCAGCTGTTTTTTGTTGTTAAACAACTCAAGTTGTAAAACTTGGCTCAAAATACATATTAAAAATCTGTGGGTGGAACCAAATGTAGGCACATTCTATCCCATTTTCCCTTGTCAATCACTATCAGTTATAAACTGAGAAGAATTTTAATTTTTCCTAACGAGAAAAATGCCTTTTTTCTGGATACTTTTGATAGCTATACTTACCTCATTAGTATAGTCTTGATACTTTGATACTTCTTCTTCAATATCAAAACACTGATTAGTCAGAGATAATAACTGTTTCCTAAGATGAAGCATCTTTCTGAAAACCAAAAAGAATCCATTGATATGCAGTCTAGCGAAACATTCTCACTTCAAATGTACATTTCTATTGTGCAGTCAATCACTCATCACTCCAAAAGAAGTTTACTCACCTCATCCATTCTTCTGACTTATTCAAAAATGCTTCGTACTTTTTAACACACTCATCTGTAAAGTGTGTCATAGCTTTTGTTGCATGGTAATACAGTTTTTGCCTGTAATTTAGAAATAATCAAAAAGGCTTAAACCAATGTCACTATTTCTACTTTCAATATTTAGAAATTTTCAAATATATGAAATGTATCTGTTTCCTATAATGATTGTTGTGGCTTTAGAATATATTTACAGCAGAAAGTAAACATTTCTAAGATAGACATTATAGCAGTAAGAAGAGAAAGAGAAGGTTCAAAATGGGTGTTAAAGAAAATGCCTATTGAATGAGGTTAAAGTTAAGATGGTGGTTAAGTCTGCCCTCGCCTATGTGCTCTATTATCTGTCCTTCTGTAATGAGAGCACAGGAGGCAGAAGGTGACTGAGTGGAAAGGTAATGTTGCTCCTTCTCCCATTGTGGTAACTTCCCAATTAAGGAGCAGAAGCATGACCTTTAAAAATGTGTACATATTGTAACAATCCCATAAAATCAAGATTAAAATGTATTTTTAATTATAATTAATTTCAACTTTAAGAAGAATCATATTAATAAAGATCACTGAAAATAATTATTAAACATAATCTGGATACTTACTTATCAAATTTGTGGATTTGTTCTTCATTATAAGCTAGTCCTAGAAATAAGAAAATATATTACTGTTGTTAATGCAGAATCATAACATCATACACAATATATTTTATTTTGAGATTATTGCTTCAAAATGGCTAAGAATTTGAAGCAGATGTCATAGATTTGTGGCTCATGGGCTACTTATGGCCCACAGATGCTTTTATTTGGTCTGTAAATAACAATGTAAACAACAATTAACTGTCAACATTTAAAAATCAAGATGTTTCTAACAAAAACTTTGTATTTCTAGCTTTTTGTTTTGTTTTGTTTGAGACGGAGTCTTGCTCTGTTGCCCAGGACAGAGTGCAATGGCACAATCTTGGCTCACCACAACCTGTGCCTTCCAGGTTCAAGCAATTCTCCTGCCTCAGCCTCCTGAGTAGCTGGGATTACAGGCATGTGCCACCAGGACTGGCTAATTTTGTTTTAGTAAAGACAGGGTTTCATCATTTTGGTTAGGCTGGTCTCGAACTCCTGACCTCAGGTGATCTGACCGCCTCAGCCTCCCAAAGTGCTGGGATTACAGGCGTGAATCTCTGCGCCCGGCATTTCTAGCTATTTTTGAGAAATGGGAAGACTGGGCAATACCTCTGGTGAATCTGAGTAGTGGCTCTCCCCTGTAGATGAATCCCCACTGTCCAATCTCATTCCTTTCTGTAACCTGCCTAGCCTTTAGAGGTTCTGGAGTTCATGACCCTGATTTAAAGTACAGTATTCAGAAAGTTGATTTTAAGAACAGTTTTTTAGCACAATCAACCTTTTTCCTGACAGAATCACATCTCTGAAACAGCTTAAGAAGCCACCCTTAAAGATATACCAAATTAATTTAACTGAATTACAACTAATTACTGAGCGATTTATTAAATTAAAAAATAGCAAATTTTACTTACTACGTTCTGCTTTGTCTTTTTTGAACTGATAGTAAATCTCTGTCATGCAATTTAACAGGACTTGTAGTTTTTCTACACTATTTAAGGAAGAAAAACTCACGTAAATTAACTGAGTCAATGTGAAAAAGGACATTTATAAGAGCAGAAACTATGCATAAAGCTATAACCTACTTTCTGTCTTTTGGATGAGTGCCTTCTTGATGTGCCCATGCATCTGCCAGCAATCCGCCTGGAGATAGTCTGCTGTCAATATCCTGAAGACTGGTTTCTATTGTTCCCTGAGAACTGGAAAGCTAAATAAAACCAATGGTTGAGATCCAGATTGCCAAAAGCTTTTTTTGAGAAACAATCATCGCAGTGTCAACAAAGTTTAAAGTCTGAACAACACTTCTTTTGTAGATTACTTCAATTCAAAGGCACAGTAATTATTTCCATTTTTAAATACAAAAGAGTTTCTTAGGTTCATTTCCACCAGGGGTACAATATGATTATAAAACGTGAGACCAACATAAATACATTTTATAAAACATTTCATTCAGTAAAAACCCTTCTAAAACAATATGTAAAATACTTCAATCTTGTTTCTTTATCTGTAAAAAGTGTTTAATTCTCCATTTCATAGCCCTGTTGTGAAAATTCAATAGAACCACTAGAATAGTCTCAAGCATAAACTATGTAGGTAGCAAGATGTGTGCTCTTCGTGTTTAGAGGCCAAACCAAAGCAACTGCTCTTAAAAACAGAAAATGAAAAGAAACCTCACCTAAGATTCTGTTCATTTTAAGCTTAGTAAATTTATCACTTGCCTGCCACAGAAATGCATATAGTATTTGTAAAACTTGTGAAGAAAGGATGAGGCTAGACTTAAAGGACAAATATGTCCAAATATTTGAAAGGTCCTCATACACACTACTGCTTTTCAAATAACGTTGTCAGTAGCAGCTGACATTGCCACTAGCAACCAACGAGGGTGCCCTTTAAACCACACTCTTGTCAGCGCTGGCATTATAATTTTTTAAGCCTTGATAATCTGAAAAATAAAAACAGTATCTTACTGTTATAACATGCGAGTTTTTCTTACTATTGGATTTGAGCATTTTTTCTTTTTTCTTTTTTTTTTTTTTTAGACGGAGTTTCACTCTTGTTACCCAGGCTGGAGTGCAATGGCGCGATCTCGGCTCACCGCAACCTCCGCCTCCTGGGTTCAGGCAATTCTCCTGCCTCAACCTCCTCAGTAGCTGGGATTACAGGCACGTGCCACCATGCCCAGCTAATTTTTTGTAGTTTTAGTAGAGACGGGGTTTCACCATGTTGATCAGGATGGTCTCGATCTCTTGACCTCGTGATCCACCTGCCTCGGCCTCCCAAAGTGCTGGGATTACAGGCGTGAGCCACCACGCCCGACCAAGGATTTGAGCATTTTTTCAAGATTTTTAACTCAGTAACATTTAAAGTATGTATATACCTGAATCAAAAGTTTCAGCAGATATATTTTCTTCATTTATAAATTGTCTCTAAATGTTCTTTGCTCATCTATTTTTTACAAATTAACTATTTTCCTTATCAATTTGTATGAGTTAGTTTTATAAAAAATGCTTTATCACATTTCCCCAACTTATTTGCTTTCTAAGATTTTTTTAACATACCAAGATCTTAAATGGTTATTTTGTTTTTGAAACAGGGTCTCACTCTGTCACCCAGGCTGGAGTGCAGTGGGGCAACCTCAGCTCACTGCAACCTCTGCATCCCGAGCTCAAGCCATCCTCTCACCTCAAGCCTCCCAAGTAGCTGTGACTAGAGGTGTGTGCCTTCACACCTTGCTAATTTTTGCTTTTTTTTGGTAGAGATGGGGTTTCACCATGTTGCTCAGGCTGGTCTTGAACTCTTGGAGCTCAACCGATCTACCCCACCATGGTCTCCCAAAGCGCTGGGATTATAGGTGTGAGCCACTGTGCCTAGCTTAATTTTTTTTTTTTTTGAGACTGAGTTTCACTCTTGTTACCCAGGCTGGAGTGCAATGGCGTGATCTTGGCTCACCGCAACCTCCGCCTCCCGGGTTCAGGCAATTCTCCTGCCTCAACCTCCTGAGTAGCTGGGATTACAGGCACACGCCACCATGCCCACTAATGTTTTGTATTTTTAGTAGAGACGGGGTTTCACCATGTTGACCAGGATGGTCTCGATCTCTTGACCTCGTGATCCATCCGCCTCGGCCTCCCAAAGTGCTGGGATTACAGGCTTGAGCCACCGCGCCCGGCACCCAGCTTAAATTTTTATATGATCAAATATATACCTTGGTTTTTATGCTTTATGTCTTTTTTAACATTAATGTTTAGAATGTGTTAAGTTATACATTCAATATATGGGAAATAGTTTATGGAAAAAGTTATTTCTTACAGCATTACATAGAAGAGTGAAAAGCAAACTGAAGGACCAACAGTAGAGGAATAAGACTAAAACAAAACTTTTTTTTTTTTTTAAATGGAGTCTTGCTGTTACCAGGCTGGAGTGCAGTGGCACAATCTCAGCTCACTGCAACCTCCGCCTCCTGGGCCAAGAGAGCCTTCCGCCTCAGCCTCCTGAGTAGCTGGGACCACAGGCGCATGCCACCATGATCAGCTAATTGTTTTTTGTATTTTTAGTAGAGACTGGGTTTCACCATGTTGGCCAGGATGGTCTCAATCTCTTGACCTCGTGATCCGCCCACCTTGGCCTCCCAAAGTGCTGGGATTACAGGCTTGAGCCACCACACCCGGTCCTCTTTTTTTTTTTGAGACAGAGTCTCGCTCTGTCATCAGGCTGGTGTGCAATGGCGCAATCTCAGCAGCTGACTGCAACCTCTACCTCCCGGGTTCAAGCGATTCTCCTGCCTCAGTCTCCTGAGTAGCTAGGATTACAGGCACATGCCACCACGCCCAGCAGCTTTTTATTTATTTATTTTTTAGTAGAGATGGGGTTTCACCATGTTGGTGAGGCTGGTCTTGAACTCCTGACCTTCTGATCCACCCACCTCGTCCTCCCAAAGTGATGAGATTACAGGCGTGAGCCACTGCACCTGACCATAAAAATTTCTTTAAGGTCTCACTAGGAAGGGAGTTACAACAACTCAACAGGTTATGAGAAAAAATGAAATCTAGGGACAAGTAATTGGCTTGAAGTGAAAAGTCCTAATGTCATAAGACTCCATTACCTCAAGCTATTTAGTTATCTATGCTTTCTCATAAGAAATCTTAATCTCACAGAAATGTCATAAAAATGGAAAAAATTTTGAGATCCCCAAAATAAAACATATAATTATGATTGAAAGTGCTCAAATGATTCTGGCCCTGGAAATAAATGTCTATTAGGCCTATGAGCTGGTAAATCATGTTCTAAGGGGAAAACAAAGAATATAAAACACTGACAGCAACATGGCTGTCTATATTTAAATGCAGACAAATACTGGGGAAGACTATTTTGTGCTTTCTGACTTTTAATCACTTTATCCTATAGCTATGTTTTTCAAACTTTCTTGACCACAGCTCATAGTAAGAAATTCACCGTTTTAACTCGGTAACATTTAAAGTGTATATATACCTGAATCAAAGGTTTCATGAACAGCCAGGTACAGTGGCTCACACCTGTAATCCCCAGCACTTTGGGAGGCCAAGGTGGGCAGATCACAAGGTCAGGAGTTTGAGACCAGCTTGGCCAATATGGTGAAACCGTTTCTACTAAAAATACAAAATTTAGCCAGGCATGGTGGTGGGTGCCTGTAGTCCCAGCTACTTGGAAGGCTGAGGCAGGAGAATCACTTGAACCTGGAAGGCAGAGGTTGCAGTGAGCTGAGATCACACCACTGCACTCCAGCCTGGGTGACAGAGACTCCATCTCAAAAATGAAAAAAAGTTTCATGAACAATAATTTCCTTATTATATGTGATGCATTCTGACATTTTCTATTTTGTTCCATTTAAAAACACATTGCTGATTACAATGCACTCAATTTCATAACTTACTAGTTGTTCATTATTCATATTTTGGAAACCACTGTTTGAGATCTAAAACTGAGGAAAAGAAACAACTAAACATCAGCCTAAGCTGGAAAGAGAAAAGGATATCATATCAAGTTCCTTCCATTCATTCATTCATTCATTCATTCACTCACTCATTTATTCATTTATTTGAGACAGGGTCTCGATATGTTGCCCAGGCTGGAGTACAGCGGCTATTCACAGGCGTGATCCCACTACTGATCAGCACGGGAGTTTTGACCTGATCTGTTTCTGACCTGGGCCGGTTCACCCCTCCTTAGGCAACCTGGTGGTCCCCCGCTCCCGGGAAGTCACCATATTGATGCTGAACTTAGTGCAGACACCAATTGGCATGGTGCACTACAGCCCAGAACTCCTAGGCTCAAGCGATCCTCCCACCTCAACCTCCCGAGTAGCTGGGACTACAGGTATGTGCCATTGTGCCCGGCAAGCTCCTTTCACTTTTCATTTAATATCCATTTTATGGAAAGAATACTTCAAATGCTAAAGCTTGCGAAGTTACAATACATTTATTTATTTATTTTGAGACAGAGTCTTGGCTCTATTACCCAGGCTGGAGTGCAGTGACATGATCTTGGCTCACTGTAACCTTTACCTCCTGGGCTCAAGTGGTCATCCTATTTCAGTCTCCCAAGTAGCTAGGACTACAGGTATGCACCACCATGCCTGGCTAATTGTTTCATATTTTTTTTGTAGAGATGAGGTTTTGTCATGATGTCCAGGCTGGTCTTGAACTCCTTGACTCAAGTGATTCATCCAACTCAGCCTCCCAAAATGCTGGGATTACAGATGTGAGCCACCGCATGCAGCCAAGAGTACAGTATTTTTATTTATCTCATTTAATTGCTACAACAGCTCATAAGACGGGCAGGATAAGAAATTGCTGATTTTAGAGAAAAGTAAACCAAGGATGCAAAGAATTAAAGGCCTTTCTTAAGTAGCCAGCCATGAATAGGCAGGTAAATAGGAGCAGGTCTGGAATTAGTAATCAGCTCTCACTGATTGCCAATATATAAATCTGTGCACTTCTGTAATATTTTTTTTTTGAGACAGTTTTGCTCTTGTTGCCCAGGCTGTAATGCAATGATGGGATCTTGGCTCACTGCAACCTCTGCCTCCTGGGTTTAACTGATTCTCCTGCCTCAGGCTCTTGAGTAGATGGGATTACAGGCATGCACCACCACGCCTGGCTGATTTTTGTATTTTTCATAGAAACGGGGTTTCTCCATGTTGGCCAGGCTGGTCTTGAACTCCCAACCTTAAGTGATCCGCCCGCCTTGGCCTCCCAAAGTGCTGGGATTGCAGGCGTGAGCCACCATGCCCAGCCTATAATACATTTTAATAAGAGATTCAGAGACTCCCTGAAATTCTGTATTTTACAGCAGAGTAGAGATGTGTGTCCTAATTCCTTTTTCTAGCTATAGAAACGATTGCCTCCCTGAGGATATCAAATCTTTCTTTCCTTAAATTTTTATTTTAGAAAAAAATCTGGTAATATTTTCCTAATTTAAATATTTCTCTCTCTCTTTTTTTTTTTTGAGACTGAGTTTCACTTTTGTCACCCAGGCTGGAGTGTGATGCCATGATCTTGGCTCACTGCAACCTCTGCCTCCTGGGTTCTAGCAATTCTCCTGCTTCAGCCTCTCAAGTAGCTGGGATTATAGGCGCCCACCATGCCCAGCTAATTTTTGTATTTTTAGTAGAGATGAGGTTTCACCATGTTGGCCAGGCTGGTCTTGAACTCCTGACCTCAGGTGATCCACCTGCCTCGGCTTTCCAAAGTGTTGGGATTACAGGTGGGAGCCACTGTGCCTGGCCTAATTTAAATCTATTTCTAAACAAGCTTAAGCACTTTACATTCAACTGCATGTTAAATTACATTTATGAACTTGCTTTAACTGCCACAGCAGCAACACGAAAGCATTATGGATTTATACACAAAGAGAGAGAGAGAGAGAGAGAGTGAGAGAGAGAGGTTTAAATGACAGTAGGCATTTGGATATGTTACAAAAAATTTCAAGGCAGTAAGAGTATTTAATAATACGCTTAAAAGAAGTTTCTAAAGATGGGAAAATACTCTTTCTCTGCAGTGAGAAACATCATCCCTGTAAAAAAGTTTATTTATATTTTATAGACAAGATGTCACTCTGTTGCACAGGCTAAGGTGCAGTGACACCGTCATAACTCGCTGCAGCCTTTAATGCCTCAGCTCAAGTGATCCTCCTGCCTTGGCCTTCTGAGTAGTTGCGACTATAGGTGTGTACCACCATGCCTAGCTCATAAGAAAGTTTAAATTTAATAGTGCCAGCAAAGGAATAGGTTATGAGCTTATAATTTTCATAATTTTGTAAATACTTACTCTCAACAATTTGGTGTGTATGTCTGAAATTTCACCTAACTCTGCTGCTTCTAGGTTGATCTTCATCAACTTTTCGTAACTGTATGAAAAGTCACAAGAGAAAATTAAATGAGTATAATCAATACATAGTTTTAAAAAGATGTTCTATACGCCGGGTGTGGTGACTCACACCTGTAATTCCAGTACTTTGGGAGGCTGAGGTGGGTGGATCACAAGGTCAGGAGTTTGAGACTAGCCAGATCAACATGGTGAAATACTGTCTCTCCTAAAAATACAAAAATTAGCCAGGCATGGTGGTGCGCTCTTGTAATCCCAGCTACTCAGGAGGCTGAGACAGGGGAATTGCTTGAACCCGGGAGGCAGAGGCTGTAATGAGCTGAGATTGTGCCACTGCACTCCAGCGTGGGTGACAGAGCGAAGACTCCACCTCAAAAAAAAAAAGTTTTATAAATAAATATTTGAGCTTTTATCATAACCATTAAAAATAAAACAATGATTCAAAGTCTATAAGCCAGCAAATTGTTAAAAAAAAAAACAAACCCTGATGCCGGCTGGGCATGGTGGCTCACACCTATAATCCTAGCACTTTGGGAGGCTGAGGAGGGCAGATCACGAGGTTAGGAGATGGAGACTAGCCTGGCTAACACGGTGAAACCCCGTCTCTATTAAAAATACAAAAAAAATTAGCTGGGTGTGGTGGTGCATGCCTGTAGTCACAGCTACTCGGGAATTTGAGGCAGCAGAATCACTTGATTCTGGGAGGTGAAGGTTGCAGTGAGCTGAGATTTTGCCATTGCACTCCAGCCTAGGCAACAGAGTGAGACTTCATCTCAAAAAGCAAAACCAAAACCAAAAAAAAAAAAACAAAAAACCAAACCTGATGCCTTCCTGAAGAAGGAATTTTATCTGCTTCTATTTTAAACTTGCAGATTAAAGGATAAAACAGAAAAGACAAATTAATTTCAAATAGTCTTATGTGAAGATAATGGTAAAAATACTACATTTCATTTAATGGAGGACAATAGTGAATACTAATTTTATTTACTATATTTTCTTTGCAGTACAAATAGTATATTCTAGAAAGAGGGCAGTTTAAAATATCATTCTGTTTCAATACACATTTTCAGAATAAAATTAACAAGTAAGAATAAACTAAAACGAATTCCTAAAATTCTAAAAATACTACTAACAGCCTGTTCTAGAATACCTCTTCCTATTTCCTTTGTTGATTACAGGTTTCATATTTTCTTATTCAGAGTTTCTGTTTTACAAGCTAGAAATAAGATGTTTTTCCCACTAACCTTTGCTAGTTAACAGCTGGGAGGAAATGCCACTAAAGAGATGGTATTCATTTCTTAGGAAGAAAATCAGCACTTTTGCCTTTGTGATGATGATGTAATCACTAATCTAAGGCTTTTTTTTTTTTGATACAGAGTCTCACTCTGTCACCCAGGATGGAGTTCAGTGGTGCAATCTCAGCTCACTGCAACCTCTGCCTCCTAGGTTCAAGTAATTCTCCTGTCTCAGCATCCCGAATAGCTGGGACTACTACAGGCGCATGCCACCACGCCCAGCTAATTTTTTGTATTTTTAGTAGAGATGGGGTTTCACCCTGTTAGCCAGGACAGACTTGATCTCCTGATCTCCTGGATCCACCCGCCTTGGGCTCCCAAAGTGCTGGGATTACAGGGGTGAGCCACTGTGCCTGGCCAAGGCTGATCTTTAATATAAACCGTTGCAGAGCATGTGATATTGTACCAAGAATAGCTAAATCAATTAACAGAAATGGAACATTTAATAATTTAACCCTTAATAGTAAGGAAGTAGTCTACTCACACTTTCACAGTTTTTTCAATGTTTCTGATACAGAAATCCAATGTGATCACAACTTCTGTCTTTTTGTGAACAGTTTCATTGTAATCATCTTTAACTAATTCACTAGAAAAAGAAAATTATTCCCATTAGTTTATCTAAGGAGTTATTTTTTCTTATCTATCACTAATATACTGTAGTACTGCTGTTCAAAAACATTTTATAACAATATTCTTGATATTAGTCAATTCACACATTTTGAGATACTACAATTAAAAGCATTTGTGTGACTATAATATATACACCTATATATATACCTAGAGATATATATATATATATCTATATCTAGGTAACTTATATTTTCACAAACCACTACTACTTAAAGAGTTTAGAAACCTAAGGTATTAAAATTACATTAAAAAGTAAAAACTAATCTACAATTATACAAAGAGTTTGTAGAGCATTCCAGTTTATACTGCCAGAATTAATGTTTACTACTCATAGCACACTACTGTCTGACTTATAAACCAATTACAGGTTGAATATCCCTTATATGAAATGCCTGGGACCAGAAGTGTTTCAGATTTTGGAATATTTGCACATATACATACTGGTTAAGCATCTCTAATCTAAGAATCCAAAATGCTCCAATGAGTATTTCCTTTAAGCATTAACTTTGAGCAAAAAGTTTCAAATTTTGGAATATTTTTTATTAGGGATGCTCAACGTGTGATGTAATCTCTGAAGAAGGATGACAGAGTAAACAATACATAATTGAAGGACTTTTGATCTATATCGGGGATCAACAAACTAAGACCTGAGGCCTGCTTTTGTATGGTCTACGAACTAACATTACACTTTTAAAGGTTGCAGAAACAAAGAAGAGACCACATGCAGCCCATAAAGTCTAAAATATTAGACTGCCAACAGTAGTTTACGTTAAAACTATTTTCTCATGACTTACTGAACTATAAACTAATAAGTAAAAGAAATAAAGCTTCATGGATCAGCGATTAAGGGTAGATGAGAGAGAAGATGAAAACTGTTAGTACACAGAGCTTTTTCCAGAAACCAGTAAAAACAAGGAAGCTTCTTAGTAGAAATATAAAAATATAGGCTTAGGAATCAGATATGTGAACACAGTGAAAAATATAAATACAAATTTATGGGTTTCATATAATGCTACCAGAAAAAAAAAAAGGAGCCTAATAAAAGAGCAATGAAATGCTTCATGTCCATTTTTGCAAGAAGGGGTGGGTATGAGGTAGGCATACATAAACTGTTAAAAGCATTACAGTCCAAGGGCACATACATAGTGATAAGAGTGCAGAAAACAAACTTCTCAGCATCTGTCGGCCACAAGGCCATTACGATGTGTGTGCAAAATTCAAAAGCTTTGAATGATGTGTAGAAATAAGCATAATTCCCAAAGAGATCAATTATTTTCCATTTTTATCAGATGGAAAGATGCCATCTATAAATCATGAAAAGTAAAAAAAAAAAAAAAAAAAGTAAAAATTATATCCATCTTACATTTCTTAGAGTCATTTTTAGGAAGAGACTACTTAAACTAGATGATCAGTTAACTACATTAAGCGATCTAGTGTTAAAAAATTAGCTTTTAAATTGCTTGTTAGATTACATATTCATATTGTATGATTTCATTTATATGAAATGTCTAGAATAGGCAAATGTATAGAAACAGTATATTAGTGGCTACCTAGGGCAGGGCTGTGTTGGCAGAAATGGAGAGTGAATACTAATGGATGCAGAGTTACTTTCTGGGGTGATGAAAATGTTCTAAAATTAGTGATGATGGCTGCACAACTCTGGACATACTAAAAACCACTGAACTGTATGCTTAAATGGGTGAGTTATATAGTTTATGAATTCTATCTCAATGCTGTGAAGGTTGGGTGTAGTGGCTCACACCTGTAATCCCAGCTGTGTGGGGCTGACTGCTTGAGCCCAAGAGTTTGAGACCAGCCTGGGCAACATAACTAGACCCAATCTCTACAAAAAAAAAAAAAAAAAAATTAGCTGGGCTTCATGGAGTATGCCTATAGTCTCAGGTACTTGGGAGGCTGGGGCGGTAGGATCACTTGAGCCCAGGAGTTTCAGGCTGCAGTGGTCTGTGATTGTGCCACTGCACTCTAGCCTGGGTGACAGTGAGACCCTGTCTCAAAAAGAAAAAAAAAATGCTGTGATGAAAAAGGACTATGTATTTCATTTGGGAAAATGATAGGAAATGAAGGAAGACTTTGAGGACTTAAATGAGAGAAAGTACAGACTGTACTGGATTATAACAAGCCAAAGCCTTCTAACACAGTGAAATGACAACTGAGTCAAGGTCCCAGGAAAAGAAATGCATTTGTTGTCACATCCTATAGCGTGGTATAAGTTTTAAAATTCAGATATACTATTTGTACAAGGTCATTGCAGGACTCATGAAAAAATAGCCGCTAAATGTTTTATAAGCTAAATGTGAAACAAATGTATTATAATAAAAATCAAGCACCTAATCTAACTAGTCTGAAGAGAGAAAACATCAATGATGGACGAGGTCTACATGAAAACCAATTTTCAAATTTCAGTCTACTACTTACATCAGCCATCGTATCCCCTTTCGCATTAATTCCTGATAAAGCAGTAAGGTACTGGCAATTCTGCAGGCATAACACACAACCCCTGTTATTGCCTAACGAAGAAATAAAATGTCAATATTTGGTGCTAATTGTGGTATAGGTTAAGAAAAACTTCTACACAAAATTATTAAAGCTTATACATTTTCATCAGGTTAATTAAAAACACAATAAACCACCAATTTCTAAAAGTTAAAAACAGATATAACTATAATAAATATATTATCCTTAACATTATCTGAACACGCACTGTCTCAATGGAGGGAATGTTCTTATATTATGAATTCAAGAAAGGATAAAAAGTAAAAAAGAAAGACCACAAAGTAACTTGGAAAGGGTATCAATTTAAGTGAATAATTTCCTAAGTCACACAGGCATACATGAAGACACAATACATGTTATTGCTTCTACTATTGATAGGATATATTAAATTCAGATGTTTACATAGTAATTCAATTAAATACTAACCTTAGCCATGCTAGCATCCCCATCTAAATCATACCGTGGATGCACTTTAGGGAGGGAAACTGAAATATGAAGTAAAATAAAATGAGAAAGAAAACTTTTTGAAAAAATCACTTTATCCTTTATAGAGCAAATAGAATGTCTAAATTAAACATTAGTGGCAAAATCTTTAATGTACTTTTCAAACAATAATGCTCATTCTCTAACAAATTACCTCCAATATTTCTAAGAAGTTTCATTTTTTCCTTAAATATATTCCAACACAATGAGTTCAATGCTTCTCTTTAAATCTACATCAACTCCCAACCTTCAAATAGAAATGTAAAATTCTGGGTGATTCATTTTTTTTTTTTTACCGGTAGAATGAATAATTTAAAAGATTCTAAAAATGCAGATCTATTTTTTCTTAGACTCTAAAGCTTTGCACAATGTTGTATACATACTGGACACAAAAAAATGTTTGCTGAAATTTATGATATAAAAGGCAATTTTGAGTGTTAGTAAAACACTTTTTTTCTTTTTTTTTTTTTGAGACTGAGTCTGGCTGTGTTACCCAGGCTGGAATGCAGTGGCACGATCTCAGCTCATTGCAACCTTCACCTCCCAGGTTCAAGCGATTATCCTGCCTCAGCCTCCCAAGTAGCTGAGATTACAGGCACCCGCCATCACACTCAGCTAATTTTTGTATTTTCAGTAAAGACGGGATCTCACAGTGTTGGCAAGACTGGTCTCGAACTCCTGACCTCATGATCCACCAGCCTCAGCCTCCCAAAGTGCTGGGATTACAGGCGTGAGCCACCGAACCCGGCCAACGAAACACTTTTAAAAGAGAGTTACGGTGAAATGTATGACAAATGATTTTATCATTTTATGAAACAAAATATTTGAAGTCAAATGATGTCTACAAGGCTTTTCAATTTTACTATTACTGTCTTTCAACTATAGTAACATAAAATTTTAATATTTATAAAAGCTCTACATTAATGTCACCATCAACTTCATAAAGATGACAATCATTTCTTTTTTTTTTTTTTTTTTTTAGATTGAGACGGGGTTTTTCGCTTGTTACCCAGGCTGGAGTGCAATGGCGTGATCTCGGCTCACCGCAACCTCCGCTTCCTGGGTTCAGGCAATTCTCCTGCCTCAGCCTCCTGAGTAGCTGGGATTACAGGCACACACCACCATGTCCAGCTAACTTTTTGTATTTTTAGTAGAGACGGGGTTTCACCATGTTGACCAGGATGGTCTCGATTTCTTGACCTTGTGATCCACCCGACTCGGCCTCCCAAAGTGCTAGGATTACAGGCATGAGCCACCGTGCCCGGCTGACAATCATTTCTACAATCACAGATTTTGTGGATTTTTTTGTTTTTGAGACAGGGTTCCACTCTGTCTCCCAGGCTGGAGTGCAGTGGTGCAATCTCAGCTTACTGCAGCCTCTGCCTCCTGGGCTAAAGCGATCCTCCGACCTCAGCCTCCCATGTAGCTGGGACTACAGGTGCAAGCCACCACGCCCAGCTAATTTTTATTTTTTGTAGAGATGAGCTCTCAATATGTTGCCTAGGCTGGTTGTAATTTTTTGATGGCCAGTAAGAACAAGAAAAACCCTAACTTACTTTTTTCATATATTAATCCTATGGTATTCAAAGGTTCCCGGCTTACTACAAAGATGGGATTTTCCTCAGTAGTTTTAGGGAAATGTTGTGCTAGTCTTCCAGGTTCTAAGACTAAGCGTCGTCCTTCATAGATAAGTTCTTGATTTGAAGAAATAATTTTGGTTTGTTTATACACCAGTTCATGAAATATAGTAGCACTGTGTGAGAAAAAGCAAAAGGACACTGTAACTGGGGATAAAGTGAGAGGCAAAATCTTTTTAAAGTGCAACAATATTCATTTCTAACTCATATTCCTAAGATCATAACCAGTTTATATAAACTTGCTTTGTTAATGTGGATACTACAAACTCCCTTCCATATAACCTGTCCATATAGTAAGCAATTCTAAAGTATTGTTATGTTCGTATACCTATGTAATATATAGGATTCTTAATATTTTCTTTTCTGTGTGTGTGTGTGACAGCGTATTTTCTTTCCTGTGTGTGTATGTGTGTGTGTGTGTGACAGAGTCTCGCTCTGTTGCCCAGGCTGGAGTATAGTGGCGCAATCTGGGCTTACTACAGCCTCCACCTCATGGGTGCAGAACCAACGTAGCAGAGATGTTTAGAGTACTGGCTTGAATCAGATACCTGGGTTCAAATCTTAGCTCTTCCACTAACTTGCTATATAACCATACGTGACTTAACTCTTATGCACCATTTCCTCAACAGTAAAATGGAAATAATAACAGTACCCACTTCACAGAATTGTTGTGAGGAATAAATGGCTTAAATATGTAAAGAACCAAGAACAGCACTTGTCATGTGACTATATGTTTGTTAAATAAATTAATAAAATGAAGTATTTTCAAAATGATGCTTTAGGGAAAAGCTAGCCTCCCCATGAATAGATCAATGACATCAAAAGAAATGTTTCAGCAGCAATATTGTAATTTGGCTCTACAAGCCTCCATTGGGTGACCTTTTGAAAATTTTTTGTTTCTAATTTTTGTGTGTACACAGGAAATGTATATATTTATGGAGTACATGAGATGTTTTGTTACAGGCATACAACATGTAATAATCACATCATGGAGAATGTGGTATCCATCCAGTCAAGCATTTCTCTTTTGTGTTACAATCATATTATACTCTTTTTAGCTTTTTAAAAATTTATAATTAAGTTATTATTAACTATAGTCACATTGGGTGAGCTTTTTAAAAAACATTTTGACATTACTACAGATTCACATGCAGTTCTAAGAAACAAAGAAGACAGACACCATATATTCTTCCCCCTGCTTTCCCCAATGGTAACAACTTGCATATAGCAAAGCATCACAACCAGCTATTAACACTGATTCACTCAACTTACTTAAATTTCCCCAGTTTTACATGCAAGTGTATGTATGTATACAGTCACGCATTGCTTAACAATGGGAATAAGTTCTGAAAAATGCATCATCGCATGTACATCATAAAGTATATTTACGGAAAACTACATACTATGCCTTCTACATACCTAGGCTATATGGTATCTAGCCTATTGCTCCTAGGCTACAAATCTGTACAGCACGTTACTGTACTTAATACTGTAAGCAGCTGTAACACAATTACTAACAGTATTTGTATATGTGAACATATGTAAACATAGAAAAGATACAGTAAAAATATGGTATTATAATCTTATGGAACCACTGTCATATATATGGTCCATCATTGACCATTATATGCAATTTTATCATATGGGTAGTTTTTCTTAAATCACGTGGGTGCGTTTTTGTTTACATAAAACAAACACTGGCTATTTTTCCAGCACCAGGTACTTTAACCATTATTATGGTTAATAATAATAACCAAATTATTTGCGTACGGTTATCAAGTGCAAATAATAACCATGTTAACTATATTTAAGACTTAGGCTTTGATATTTTAAACATGGGAGGATAGTGCACTTAGTAAAACCTGGCTCATTTATTGGTAGATGCCATTTGTGGTTATGTGATTATGTAACTTGAAAGTAGGCACTGCAATGAAAGTAGTCTTGTAAAACTTAACAGTTTAAGAACAAGCTAATTTAACTATAAATTTTAGAATATCAATCCTTTTACTCCAAAAATAAGTGAAAAGGAATTTAGTAAGCACTTAAATATAATTTTCTATGTGGGAAGCATGGGTGCTTTTGGTGAGGCTGAGGCATCTTTTCTATTTCTTTTCCTACCTTAGGAAAATATATAACAGAATATGTTGCTATAAGAAGAAAACAGAGATACTTACGTATTATAGCTATGAATATAAATCTTATGAGCTGTCATTTGTTGTAGCGAAAAAACATGAATTATCATTCGGTGAAGTATATCACTAGTTTCTGCAAAAAACTGGTCAAAACCCCAACACTTTTCCTGATCTGCTTCAAGGATGTTTGCAAGAACAGGAGTAAGTAGAACCTGAAGACCCCTAAAATGGTATTGAAAAGTTACTTGAAGAGTGAATATATCATATTCTGTCTATGTTAAAAAATCATAATATTTACCAGCAAATTTAAGGAATTGTCATTATTATCATATTAGATTAATTTAAAATTTTTTAAATCTGTCAGCTTTTCAGAAAGTTAGGTGACCTTCACTTAATATCATTCATCAATGAATCAGAGATGATAGCTTTTTTTTTTTCTTCTAGAAATGGGGTCTTGTTATGCTGCCCAGGCTGAAGTGAAACACTTTATGTGTTGCAGTCTCAAACTCCAGGGCTCTAGTATCCTGTCTCAGCTTCCTGAGTAGCTGAGTATGCCACTATGCCAAGCCCATTACATTTCTGGTAGTTGCTTTCACTGCTGATTTGTAGTACTTGAAGTTCTTACTATTTAAAACAAGTGTTCATTTCCTGAACCCTTTACATTTTATCAGTTTGCCCGAGATCCTCAAAATAAGCATTTCCTAAATCAAAATTTAACACAAATCACAATTATAATGTTACATTTCTGTTCTCCAACACAATGAATTTCTCTTGGTAATCTAGTTGCATGACAATTTTATTTTGGAAAACTTTTTAAACAACATACACAAAAAACTAGTTACAACAGTGGTTTTTGAAAATAATTTCAGCATTGGAACTCTTGGTTTAAATGAATTTTCATAGAACCCAATATATAAAATGCTAAATGATATTTTATTAGTTTGTTTTATATATTTATTTAGTTAAAAGTCATACAAAAAGCACCCACAACTTACAATAGGTGTTAAGCCAGTAACTCACCTAATTATGGATTATGTAACTACCACACTCAGGAAAAATGGAAGTTAATTCAGTAATCACAAATTCTAAATACTGATGTGTGTCTTGGCTTTTTTTCCAGAGTGAAATACAAAATAATTTACTTTCTACTTTTAATTTTTTTTACCTTAATTCTTTCTTTGTGGTAACAGAAATCTTTTTTTTTTTTTTTTGAGACACAGTCTGGCTCTGCTGCCCAGGCTGGAGTGCAGTGGCACAATTTTGGCTCACTGTAACCGCCACCTCCTGGGTTCAAGTGATTCTCCTGCCTCAGCCTCCCAAGTAGCTGTGACTACAGGCGTGCGCCACCATTCCCAGCTAATTTTTGTATTTTTAGTAGAGGTGGGGTTTCACCGTGTTAGCCAGGATGGTCTCGATCTCGTCACCCTGTGATCCACCCACCTCGGCCTCCCAAAATGCTGGAATTACAGGCATGAGCCACCGCGTCCGGCCACAGAATTCTTAAATGACAATATAATTTGTTTGAGTTCTGCCTGCATCATTAAACAAGACCCATACGAACATCTGAAATGCTAAAAAGTACAAAAAGACTATTATTTTCACCCTTTGAATAATTTGAATTTTTTAAAAAATGAGGATAATACTAAATCTCTTTACTGTTTGCTTTTTACAACTCCAGTTGAGAAATTTACTCACATCCAAACCACTATTTGTTATCCAACAATATGGAGGTCATTACAGAAAATACTAAAGTCCTGAGCAGGATCCCCACACTGGGAAGAATTCCAAGACCAGTGATTACCAATCTCAAAAATGTATGCCCTGTGTCCTAACGCAGATCAGGGGAAAATATTTATATAGTCACAAAGACAAAAACCATTTATCAAGGCATATGCTTTGACGATATCTAATTAAAATAAAATCAAAGTATATTTCAGTATTTGAGTACCTGTGGTTTTAGGCAGGAAAGATTTCAAACACCAAAGTGCAAAAGATAAGAATTAGGTACACCATACTTACCGAGAAAGACTGCAAGAAACAGGCATGTCTCCACTCCAGTCAATTGGTCCATTTTCTGCTTTCTGTACTCCAGATATTGCACCAGAAGGCTTTCCTGTAATTATTTTATACCTTGGGAGGAATAAAAGCAGAATAAAATAATGCAGTTCATTTTTGCATGATATTAATGGGCTTTGCAAAAGTATTTCCTCAATTGCACCTACAATTATCTACTAGATGAAACTTTGTGACTGATGTTCACAGGATCCATAAAACAATCAAAATACTTTGAATCTGACTGACTGAAGAACAGTGGTTGTATGGTTATTTTATATATGCCATAATTAATTTTCATCTGAGATCTCAGAGTGCTTTATAACAGCATCTTGATGTTCACAACAAAAATATTAATTTTCCATCTGAAAAAACCGAGCAAACAAAAAATAAATTATGTCACAGAATGTCTCTAGATATGAAAAAAAAAAGCATCTAATCCCTCTTACCCATATTATCCAAAGGCACAACTAAAGTGTAAAGATTCTGCAAAATGAATAGCATTCTTTAAAACAAAAAAGATAAAACTATACAGAGCACAGTATCAGATTCTTTGCACATTGGAACACACACATTTGCACATTTTGGAAAAACCACGGTTGTTCAATGTTAAAGTACATGTGCTCTGAGCAAATCAATATTTAAAAAAAAAAAAAACAGAACAAACCACTACAACTGATTTAGACCATTTGCTGCTTCCTCAGTAGAGGCAGCCATGATTTCTGCCTTAAGAAATTTTTCAAAGAGGAAATCAATGTGAAAAATGAGGTGTGTTCATGTGAGAACTATCTAACGAGTAAGTGCACATATGTGAGGTTAATGCAAAAGAGAAGTGAATAAATGGCAAAATTCTTAAAGGAATGCTTACAAGTTTTAAAAAAGTTAAATTTTGATAAGATCCATATATAAATACATTCCTAACATGCAAATGAGATGCTGAGGAATCAGCACTGCCATAATGTTGGATGAATACATCCTTCATTAGCAAAGTAAAACAATTATTATTACCGAGTACTTCAATCACCTCTGAACATTCTTTAGCATCAATGTTCATAAAAAGTTGAGTTTCTGTGCTCATAAAGTAAAATTCTTCTAACGGTATATCTGCCCACATGAGTGTCGGACAAAATTATCCGGTATTCCTAGCTACTTAAGAGCTATATGATTCCTTTATTAGGAAGCAACACACACTTTTATTTAAACCATTTTTAGGGCAGCAAGAAATGCTGACATTGCTTTAAAAGCTGATACTATCTATGATGATAAAACTATAATTAACTGTTAGGCACAATTTATGTGTAATGAGAAAAACACAAATTATCAGTTTTTGTTAAGGAAGATATTTCATTAAAAGGGCAATGCTATAAAGCAGGCTCAATAGGATGCTATACCAAAATCGTCAGTACAGTTAAATATTCTTCTCATAAACATGTACACTGTCCTTGCTGGAAAACATTCAGATACCCAAGTTTTAGCAAAAGTCATTGTACCACCTGAATAATTTGTTTTACTTTCTCCAACTAACAAAAGGAAAAACATCTTTCTCCCTCAATTTTTTGAGAAGAGATTGAATACTTGTATCTTTTACAGTTGTGACTATTACTTTAAGTCATGCTTGCTTCATAAAAGGTAGGGCCAGGCTGAGTGTGGTGGCTCATGCGTGTAATCCCACCACTTTGGAGACCAAGGGGGGACAGATCACTTGAGGCCAGGAGTTCAAGACCAGCCTGGCCAACATGGTGAAACCCCATCTCTACTAAAAATACAAAAATTAGCTGGGTGTGGTGGCATCCGCCTGTAATCCCAGCTACTCGGGAGGCTGATGCAGGAGAATTGCTTGAACCTGGGAGGCGGAGGTTGCAGTGAGCTGAGATTGGGCCACTGCACTCCAGCCTGGGCAACAGAGTAAGCCTCTGTCTCAAAAAAACAAATAAACAAAGCAAAACAAAAAACCAAACCAAACCAAACAAAAGATAGGGTCAAATATATAAAAGTCTGAGAAATATGTTAAGACCTAAAAGAATAACTGGACAGGTTAGGCTGTCAGTGGTTGTTGTCCATTCACTAAACTCAGTATTCTTTACATCACAGTTTTATGTGTATGTGGTTTGGCTTTCTCATGAAACAAGGTTATTCACAAATGTCTTTTAAAATAAAAAGAAGTATGGCTAATTATGGATTATTTTTATAATTATTTCACATCTAGAAATCCATCTCTCTTTTCCTTGGGTTACAAGAAATGAGTTTATACACACAGTAACTATTTTCGAATAATCACGGCATTACACTTCAAAAAATTAGGCACAGAAGGAACATATCTCAAAATAATAAGGGCCATCTATGACAAACCCATAGTCAACATCATTCGGAATGGGCAATTCCCCTATGAGCTGGAACAAGACAAGAAGGCCCACTCTCACCACTCCTACTCAATATAGTACTGAAAGTCCCAGCCAGAGCAATCAGGCAAGAGAAAAATAAGAGGCATTCAAATAGGAAAAGACATAGTCAAATTTTCTCTTCACTGACAGTATGATTCTAAACCTAGAAAACCCTAAAGATTTCACCAAAAGACTCCTAGACCTGACAAACAACTTCAGCCAAGTCCCAGGATACAAAAAAGATATACAACTATCAGCAGCATTTCTATACACCAATAATGTTCAAGCTGAGAACCAAATCAAGAATGCAATCCCATTTACAATAGCCACACAGACACAAAAATACCTAGAAATACACTTAACTGAGGAGTTGAAATATCGCTACAAAAACTACAAAACACCGCCGAAAGAAATCATAAATGACACAACAAATGCAAAAGCATTTCATGCTCATGGCTATGATAAACCCATAGCCAACATCATTCTGAATGGGCAATCGCCCTAAGAACTGGAACAAGACAAGGAGGCCCACTCTTGCCACCGCTACTCAACATAGTACTAGAAGTCTCAGCCAGAGCGATCAGGCAACATCATATCATTAAAATATCTATACTGCCCAGAGCAACCTACAGAATCAATGCTAACCCTATCAAATTATCAATGTTATTTTTCACAGAACTAGAAAAAATTATTCTAAATTCATATGGAACAAAAACAGAGCCTGAATAGCCAAGGCAATCTGCAAGGCTACCCCAAAAGAGCATAGTGCTGGTACAAAAACAGATACATAGACTGATGGAACAGAATAGAGACTCCTAAAATAAAGCCACACATCTACAACCAACATATCTTTGACAAAGGTGACAAAAATAAACAATGGGGAAATGATACCCTATTTGATAAATGGTGCTGGAAAAACTGGCTAACCATATGCAGGAGAATAAAACTAGACCCCTATCTCTTACCACATACAAAAATTAACTCAAGATGGAATAAAGGCTTAAATGAAAGAGCTCAAACTACAAAAATTCTAGAAGGAGATATAGGACATACTCTTCTAAACATTGTCTTAAGGAAATAATTCATGATGAAGACCCCAAAATCAAATGCAACAAAATTAAAAATAGACAAATGAGACTTAATTAAACTGAAGAGCTTTGGCACAGCAAAAAGAAGTCTCTTTTTATTTTATTTTATTTATTTATT